TCTATAACAATTACACGTATCTGGTGCAACACACACTCCAAAACCATTACAAACAGTTAGTTCAGTGGCCGATGTTCCATTACATGTTGGTGTTGAACATAATGGTCCAGTCCAACCTTTGTCACATTTGCATCGATTAAGATCAATACACTTTCCATTTCCACTACATGCATTACTCTTTGCGATACACACTTCATTCTCATCAAATGCAAGAATTCCATTACATGATGGTATTGTACATAGTTTACCACCCCAACCTGAGAGACATTTACATTGATTTGGACCAACACATACTCCCAATGAATTACACACATTTGAATCAGTGGCTAAAGTTCCATTACAAAATGGAATTTCACAAAATTGACCTCCCCACATTTCATTACATTGACATTGATTTTCATTGACACAATATCCTCTAGAGTTGCAAACTGCCTCATTATTAGCCAAAATACCTTGACATTTAGGTATTTCACATTGTTTACCACCCCAATTTAAATTACAATTGCATTGATTTGGACTAGTACATTCACCATGTCCACTACACACCAATGTATTATTGCTAACTATAGTTCCATTACTATCAGTATTGGTAGTAGCATTGGTAGATAGAATATTATTACAAATTGGTGTGGAACAATCTTCACCTCCCCAACCAGTTAAACAGATACAAAGATTGGCACCAACACAATCACCCTTTCTACTACAAACAGATATATTAGTGGAAATTATACCACTACATATTGGAGTTTCACATAATTGACCTGTCCAATTTGAGTCGCAAATGCATTCATTTGGTTGAACACATTTACCATTGCCATTACATGCTGTTTCATTGGTTGCCAAAACATCTCCACATATTGGAATTTCACAATATTGACCTGCCCAATTTGAATTACATAAACATTCGTCTGGACGAATGCAAAGACCATTTCCACTACACACCACTGTTTCATTGGTGGTTAAAGTTGAATTACTATCATTGGTAGCCTTAATACCATTACATATTGGAATTTCACAAAATGGACCTGTCCAATTTGAATTACAAATACATTCATTGGGTTGAAAACATTCTCCATTACCATTGCATACATAAGGATCAGTTGCCAGTGTAGAGTTACATTTTGGAGATTCACAATATTGTCCACCCCATGTAGAATTGCACTCACAAACATCTGGACCAATACATGCACCATTACCACTACACACAAATTCATCAATGGCCAAAGTTCCATTACAAATTGGAATTTCACAAAGTTCTCCTGACCAACTTGAATTACATTCACAAATATTTGGACTCACACATTGACCGTTTCCATTACAAACCAATGCATCAGTTGCACTCGTACCATTACAAAGTGGAGTTTGACAGAATTGACCAGTCCAATTGGTATTACAAATACATTCATCTGGTTGAATACATTCTCCATTTCCAGTACATACATAAGGATCAGTTGCCAGTGTAAAGTTACATTTTGGAGATTCACAAAATTCTCCACCATATGTCGAATTACACTCACAAATATTTGGGCTAATACAGTTACCATGTCCTTCACAAGCAGATATATTATTTGCCAATATTCCATTACAATATGGAATTTCACAATACTGTCCACCCCATTCTGAAGTACAATTACATATATCTGGTTGAATACATGTACCATTGCCATTACAAACCAAAGCATCAGTTGCCATTGTTCCATTACAAATTGGAATTTCACAGAATTGGC